TTTTTTTTTTTTTTTTTTTTCGTTTGAGACAGAGTTTTACTCTGTCACCCAGGCTGGAGTCCAGTGGCGAGATCTCAGCTTATCACAACTCCCACCTCCCGGGTTCAAGCGATTCCAAAGTGCTGGGATTACAGGCGTAAGCCACTGCGTCTGGCCTCTTACACTTCCAATGAACCCCACAGCTTGTAGCACATTGCTTTGTGTGGCAAGTGTCTCTATTTGTGGTCCTAGCAGGAAATGAATAGCACAGTCAAATTAGGATAATTTGGGGAAGAGTTTAATAAAATGATAATTACAAAGAAGTAGGCAGGGTGTAGGGAAATCAGAAAGCATAGTGCAGTGCCTTAGTACCCACAGCTCTGTTGTGATCACCTCCAAGCTCAAAAAGATGAGGGTGGAGCAGTCGTGTAAAGAGGACTTTCTCAATAAAAACTGTGACTTTCATTGATGCCGTCCATTTGGGACAACTTCCTGAAGCAGAAAGCAGGGTGGAGACTGAATTCAAGGGAAAACATAAGATGTCTGGTACAGCATACAACAGCATTCATTCAGAGGAGGGTGGGAGTACTGAGCCCAGGAGAGGGAGAAGGAATGTAAAGCCTGCGAGAGGCTGCTCAGCAATTTTCTGGTCCCTTAGCCTACAGGATTAGCAGCTTCCTAACAGGCAATTATCTCTCTGGACCTGTTTATTCTATCTATAAGTTGATGGAATTAGTCTAATGATATCTAAGGTCCCTACTATGTGCACAGCTACTGCGACAAGGTCCTTAGCTCCATGATCTTTAATTCTGACAAAGGTTACTATCACAAATATTTTAACATTTTTACTCTCGTGGTTACAAATCAACAATCTCTGGCACTATTACAACAAACCTTTCAGTATTTACAGAGAAGTTATTTGCCCTTCTTAGCAACTAGCCAATCAACAACTCAACTTTATAGTAAGTTACAGAATTTATTCTGTACACTGTATTCTGTACAATGTATTCCATACATTAATGTATTTTGTGGTAAAATAGTAACTTTTAATTTTGGATGGTTAAACTAGACGAGCTGAGATTTAACCCACGTAAGCGGCTGCAGAGCCGCTACCCTTAACAGCTCTCTCTCGGGATTCTAACATTCCCTTCCGTGACGGAGAGACCGCAGGCTGGGACACGGATCCCGGGACGGATCCACAGCTGGGCGGGGAAGGCTGCGCCCGGCGGGCCGGAAGCCGGACGGTGGCGTGCAGGAGCCCCGCCTTCCTGGGCTGGATTCGGGCGGGGGCGGGGCAGGGGCGGGGTCTGAGGCAGCGGGAATCCCGACCCCGCCCCTTTCCCCACCCCTCCATTTCTCGCCATGGCCCCTGCACTGCTCCTGGTCCCTGCTGCCCTCGCCTCTTTCATCCTGGCCTTTGGCACCGGAGTGGAGTTCGTGCGCTTTACCTCCCTTCGGCCACTTCTTGGAGGGATCCCGGAGTCTGGTGGTCCGGGTGAGCGGGAGGGATCGGGGATGAACTGGGAGTAGGAAGGTGGAGCCGTAGGCGAGGGATCGAGGGCGGGGCTTGGAAACAAATGACAGGGGAAGTCCCAGAGAGGGAACTCGAATCTTGAAAGCGGCCGAGAAGCTACAGGGGAGGGAGACCTGAGTTCTAAATTAGGAACTCAAGGATTACAGTTTTGGAGAGGCGGGAGAGTGAGGACTGAGGGAGCCGAAAAGGGCGATAACCAGAGTATTCTAAGTAAAATGTTTTGTAGAGAGGGCTGTTGAGAGTGTTAAAAAGAAGGAGCATTTGGAGAACCGAAATAAGAGGGGCAATCCAGCGGTGGCCTCTCCAGCCATGCTTTTTGCAACTGCCTGACATGCATTGTTCTATAAATCCTCTCCCCTAGGTTTGCAGGAGGCCTAGGGAAGAGGGCAGAAACTAGGAATGGAAAAGTGAGATGGGCACAGCCTAGAGAGGAAGCATTAAAGCTCTTGAAAGCAGTAGGGACATGGCCTGGGGCTCCAAAAGGAGATGAGGATGGGGGAAACATTTGCCACCTTTTCGATCTTCTGTCTCTTTCTCCCTCAACTTCCTGTAGATGCCCGCCAGGGATGGCTGGCTGCCCTGCAGGACCGCAGCATCCTTGCCCCCCTGGCATGGGATCTGGGACTCCTACTTCTATTTGTTGGGCAGCACAGCCTCATGGCAGCTGAAAGAGTGAAGGCATGGACATCCCGGTACTTTGGGGTCCTTCAGAGGTCACTGTATGTGGCCTGCACTGCCCTGGCCTTGCAGGTATGAGGCCCTGGCCTTGCAGGTATGAAGTCCCTAAGGGAGACCAAGTGTGGGAGGGGTGCCCTGGATTGGAGGGGCAAAATATGGGTTCAGGAGGGGAACTGAGGAACTAATCTCAGCTTCCATTCCTCCACAGCACATACCCTAGTTTTTATCAAGAAGGGTGTACTTGTCCTTCCCCAAGCACAATACGTGCATTCTCACCTTTGCAACTTTGTTCATGTCCTGCTTGAGATCCCTTCTCTTCAGTCCTACCCTTTCTTCAAAACCACTTCCCTAGGTCTGAAGAGGCCTTGTCTGTCTTCTCATTGGGTGGTTGGCATAGGCTACTACTTGGTGTAGCTATCAGGTCACCCCATCTGTTCTGTAAATTCTCAGGGTGGAGACAGGCCATCCTTACATCTTTGGGACCTCACCCAGCATGCACCCTCCACATGGTGAATATTTGGTGGTGATGCTTAGGTGAGAGGTGGGGGAGAGTTGCAGGCTAGCCTGTGGTGGGGGCAGCTCTGGATCCGGGTCTCCCAAGGTCGGGCAGGGTAGGCCACTGGGATACGAAGCCCCTTATCCTTCCACAGCTGGTGATGCGGTACTGGGAGCCCGTACCCCGAGGCCCCGTGTTGTGGGAAGCTCAGGCTGAGCCATGGGCCACCTGGGTGCCCCTCCTGTGCTTTGTGCTCCATGTCATCTCCTGGCTTCTCATCTTCAGCATCCTTCTCGTCTTTGACTATGCTGAGCTCATGGGCCTCAAACAGGTGAGGCTCTGAGATCCCTACCTACGACCTCTGACCCGTTTTAGAACTACTCTTTCCCTTTCAAGGGTTTCCCTCCTCCCATGCTCTTCTACTGTCTCCTTGATTCTCCCTCATGACCCTTCCCTCAGAAGGACAGCAACCATGGGCCTCCTGGGCCTGGGGAAGGTACATGGATCATAAGTCAGGATCAGGGATCCAAGTCTCAGAAGAGGGGTTCCTGGGCCTGAGTTCTAGAAGGCTGGTGCCTGGAAGAGGAGGAAAGAAGCGCCCAAGCTGAGAAAAGGGCTTGACTCAATTTCTAAACTCTTCTCCCTCTCTTAGGTATACTACCATGTGCTGGGGCTGGGCGAGCCTCTGGCCCTGAAGTCTCCCCGGGCTCTCAGACTCTTCTCTCACCTGCGCCACCCAGTGTGTGTGGAGCTGCTGACAGTGCTGTGGGTGGTGCCTACCCTGGGCATGGACCGTCTCCTCCTTGCTCTCCTCCTTACCCTCTACCTGGGCCTGGCTCATGGGCTTGATCAGCAAGACCTCCGCTACCTCCGGGCCCAACTACAAAGAAAACTCCACCTGCTCTCTCGGCCCCAGGATGGGGAGGCAGAGTGAGGAGCTCACTCTGGTTACAAGCGCTGTTCTTCCTCTCCCCCTGAATTCTAAATCCTTAACATCCAGGCCATGGCTGCTTCACGCCAGAGGCCCAAATTCATGGACTGAAGGAGCTACCCCTTCCACTACTTGAGACTTTATTCTCTGGGTCCAGCTCCACACCCTAAATTCTGAGTTTCAGCCACTGAACTCCAAGGTCCACTTCTCACTAGCAAGGAAGAGCAGGGTATGGAACTCATCTGTCCCCTCACTGTTTAGGGCATGACACTTTCGCCCTCAACAGCCTCCTGAGAAGGAAAGGATCTGCCCTGACCATTCCCCTGACAGTGTTACTTGCCTCTGTGCCTCAGGGGTCCCCTTCTCCACCTCCGGCTTCCACTCCAAGAAGCTGGACCAGGGTCTGCAAGTTCAATGGTCATAGCTGTCCCTCCAGGCCCCACACCTTGCCTCACCACTCCTGGTCCTAGTCTCTGCACCTCCTTAGGCCCTGCCTCTGTGCTTAGACCCCAACCTAGTCAAGGGTATTCTCCTGCTCTTAACTCGATGACTTGGGGCTCCCTGCGCTCCCGAGGAAGATACTCTGCAGGAAAATAAAAGCCTGATTTTTCTACATATGGCATGCAGTCTGTCAGTGTCTCCCAAGCTGCAGGGCTGAGTTTGGAAAAGAAAGCCAGAGGGAGCCTGGGAGCGCCGAACTGGAGTCTGGGCAGCCACCACGCCCTCTGGCAACCGCTGGGCTTCGGCCACCCCCCGCCGACCCGCCCCCACTTTGCCAGAGCGGCCGGGTCCCCATTCCCATTCCTTCAAATTCCCTTTTTCCCGGCAGCCGACCTGGAGACCCAAGGGAGACAGGTTGAAGCTAGAAAGAGTCCGGCAGCAGCTCTGGTAGGGGGGCGAGCTTCCAAAACCTCTGGTTTCTGAGCGCCTCTCCTGCCGCCCACTCCACAAGGCCCCCCACAGCCTGGCGGTTGCCCTCGACCCCGCAAAAACAAAGGCCTGCAGAGGTTGGACCTCCAGACCCAGATGAGAAGGCAAAAGCGTAGGGAGGAGCTGCAGGAGATGGGAAGGGCGGGCCCGGCCCCGAGCAGCTGCCGCTTCCTCCCAAAGTCCCACGAGGGGCCTGAGTCACGGGCCACCGCCCTGGGTCGGCGAGCTGGGGGAAGGGATCTGGACACCTGGGGTGTCCGGGCGGGAAGCTGGTGAGGGCCCCTGGGGACACAGCGGAGGGCCAGGGGTTGGGACAAGAACAGGGCAGTCCCGGAGCGAGTCCCACGCGGGGTGGGAGGGAGCTAGGCCCCGCCCTCTCCTCGGCTCCGCCCTGCGCCCCCATCCCTCTCCTCATTGTCCTTAGACAAAGCGGTCGCCGCCCCCGCCCGGCCCCCTGGTCTCTGTCTCCGTCCCACCTCCTTTGCTGCCTCTTTCCCTCCTCCTCTCCTTCCCTCCTCTCCTTCCCTCCTCCCCTCCCTCTAGTCTCCGGATCTCCCTCGGTCCCTCTCTCCTCCTCTTCCTCTCTCCGGACGCCCGGCTCCTCGGCACCCCCTCCCGCGGGGGTCCTGCGGCGTGTGAGTTGACTGAGGGGCTCAGACTTGGGGAGTGGGTGTCTCCTCGCTCCGGTCCTTGCTCCCATCCCTGGCCCGGATCTTGGCTGTCTCCTCTTTGTGCCGAGATTGTCAGTCTGTGCGTCCAGAGCGGGGTGGAGACTGCCGGCTCTGTCACGGCTCCATGAGAGCGGGGACGGGGCACAGGACTTGCAGGCGCCGGGGAGAAGAGACATGGAGCCGGCCCTCGGCACTCTGGGGTCGCGTGGCGCAGCCGGTGGGGGAGGCAGGCGGTGGTGACGGGACAGGGTGGGGGTGGACGCCAGGGTTCTGGGAACGCGCTGGCAGCCCTGACGCCCGGGTTCCGAAAGTCCCGGGGGTGGGTATTTCCCCCGACCCGCCTCGGGGGCGGAGTGCGGGGCAGAGGGGTGGGGGCTGGGGAGAGGCGTGGCCCGAGCGGTGCTGGAAGGGGAGCCGGGACCTTTGGGGCCCGCGCTGAGACGCGCCGGGTTGCTGCCGCCGCGCTCCTTTCCCCTCTTCCTTGGTTTCCCTTCTCCCCTAGACCTCTTCGCTCTCCGCTCCTCCTTGCCTCCCCAACACCCCCTCAGGTCCCGTTGCCTCCTGGTCCTTCCAGGGATTCCTGGTCCTTCCTTCCCACACTAGTCTCCCTGGGGTATCGCTGAGGCAGTCTGGCCTGCACCCAGATTCCCCTCACCCCAGCCTCATTTCTCTCTTCTCCCTCACACCAACTTTCCTTTTCGCCCTTCTCTCTCTGTCTCACATCCTAGAGACTGTCTTTAATACGCATTAACCCTGACTGCCACATCTGGCTCCTGCCCTCATTGCCTCCAATCAGGACTCTTCCTCTCACATCACCCCCACCACCCCCAACTTGGGCTCACAACTTCTCTTCACTTTTTCCATTTCCCCAGTTCTCTGCCTTCCCTCTTTCCCTCTGTCCTCATCCTTAGCCCCTCTGCCCTGCTTTGTGTCCCACCTCTCCCCCTCCACTTCCTCTCCTCCTACCCTCAGTCTCCCCCCTGGGCCTCTCTGGAGCCTCTCCTTCCTGTTCTCTGCCCCCAGTGCTCCCTACCCTCACCTCAAGGCGACCATGGCCACCATCCCAGACTGGAAGCTACAGCTGCTAGCCAGGCGCCGGCAGGAGGAGGCGTCCGTTCGAGGCCGGGAGAAAGCAGAACGGGAGCGCCTGTCCCAGATGCCAGCCTGGAAGCGAGGGCTCCTGGAGCGCCGCCGGGCCAAGCTTGGGCTGTCCCCTGGGGAGCCTAGCCCTGTGCCGGGGACTGCAGAGGCTGGACCTCCAGACCCAGATGAGTCTGCGGTCCTTCTGGAGGCTATTGGGCCAGTGCACCAGAACCGATTCATCCGGCAGGAGCGGCAGCAGCAGCAGCAGCAACAACAAAGGAGTGAAGAGCTGCTAGCAGAGAGAAAGCCTGTGCCTCTGGAGGCCCGGGAGCGGAGACCCAGCCCTGGGGAGATGCGGGATCAGAGCCCCAAGGGAAGAGAGTCAAGAGAAGAGAGACTAAGTCCCAGGGAGACCAGAGAGAGGAGACTGGGGATAGGGGGAGCCCAAGAGTCCAGCCTGAGGCCTCTGGAGGCTCGGGACTGGAGGCAAAGCCCAGGAGAGGTGGGAGACAGGAGCTCCCGACTGTCAGAGCCATGGAAATGGAGGCTGAGTCCTGGAGAAACTCCAGAGCGGAGTCTGAGACTAGCAGAGTCTCGAGAGCAAAGCCCCAGGAGAAAAGAGGTGGAAAGTAGACTGAGCCCAGGGGAATCTGCCTACCAGAAGTTGGGCCTGACAGAGGCCCATAAATGGAGACCTGACTCCAGAGAGTCTCAGGAACAGAGTTTGGTACAACTGGAGGCAACAGAGTGGAGGCTGAGGTCAGGAGAAGAAAGACAAGGCTACTCGGAAAAATGTGGCAGAAAAGAAGAGTGGCCAGTTCCAGGGGTGGCTCCGGAAGAGACTACAGAGCTGTCCGAGACCCTGACAAGGGAGGCCCAAGGCAGCAGTTCCACAGGAATGGAGGCAGCAGAGCAGAGGCCTGTGGAAGATGGCGAGAGGGGCATGAAGCCAGCAGAAGGGTGGAAATGGACCCTAAACTCCGGGAAGGCTCGAGAATGGACACCCAGGGACATAGAGGCTCAAACTCAGAAACCAGAACCTTCAGAGTCAGCAGAGAAGCGTCTGGAATCTCCTAGTGTGGAGGCTGGAGAAGAGGAGGCTGAGAAGGAGGAGGCGGGAGCTCAGGGCAGGCCTCTGAGAGCCCTGCAGAACTGCTGCTCTGTGCCCTCCCCCCTCCCACCAGAGGACGCTGGGACTGGAGGCCTGAGACAGCAGGAAGAGGAAGCAGTGGAACTCCAGCCCCCACCACCAGCCCCTCTGTCTCCCCCACCCCCAGCCCCAACTGCCCCCCAACCTCCTGGGGATCCCCTCATGAGCCGCCTGTTCTATGGGGTGAAGGCAGGGCCAGGGGTGGGGGCCCCCCGCCGCAGTGGACACACCTTCACCGTCAACCCCCGGCGGTCTGTGCCCCCTACGACCCCAGCCACCCCAACCTCTCCAGCCACAGCTGATGCTGCAGTCCCAGGAGCTGGGAAGAAGCGGTACCCAACTGCCGAGGAGATCTTGGTTCTGGGGGGCTACCTCCGTCTCAGCCGCAGCTGCCTTGCCAAGGAGTCCCCCGAAAGACACCACAAACAGGTAGGGAAGCAGCCAAGCCAGACTTCTTAGAAGCCCACTTGTCAATTCTCTTTGGACTCTGGTCTTTATTTCTTTTTTATACCCCTGTTTTCTTGTCTTCCTCTCTTCTTTCTTGTTAATTCCTGCCACCACCCTTCCTCGCTCTGCACATACACCCTTCCTTCTCAGAGCCCTCCTTTTCCATTTTGAGCCCAAAAGATCCTGCCCCAGCAAAGGCCGTCTCTGGGTGTGTCTCTTTCAGGGTGTGCCCGGCTTCTCATTCTCCCTTCCCTTGGGCTCTGAATTTCCAGCCCCCTTTTCTTTCCTCCCTTTCCTGAGTGTGACCCGCCCCAGCCCACCCAGTGGGAAAGCCCAAACTGACAAGCTTGAATCAGTGAGGGCAGCATCACGAGGGTGAAAGCACTTGCAGTTTTTCTGCGGAGAAGGGATAGGGAGCCTGGGGTGGCGGAGGGGGTGCGTTTGTGTTCTAGGGAGAAACTGTAGGGAGAAGTGAATGGAGGAAGGTCCAACTGCCCCATGGGAAAGAGGGCAGAGCTGAATAGGGACATCTTAGGATGGAGGGGAGAGGGGAGATGGAACTGGGCCGGCCAAAGAGCAGAGAGAAGGCTTTTGAACCCTGAGTCTGCCCCATGGGAGAGACACAGAGAGGCCATTTGAAGTGGGTGACCTCGGGGTTGCACACCCCCAGCTGGGCCACTGCTTCAGACAGTGCTCCCTTCTCTCTTGGGACAAGAAAAGCCTTCTCCTCTTCCAAAATACCCCCGCCCCTCACTCCCCCGTCCTTCCTCCCTGGGTTTCCCCTCCCTCCCAAGAACTGGCTTAGGGATCGGTTTTCCCCTCTCTTCCTGCCATCCTGGGCTCTCCCTCCCTTTAGGGTAGTGAAAGAGAGAAGTGAATTTGGAGACAGTTTTGAGAGCAGGCACTGGCCAGGGAGCATAGTGGGATTTCTGGACAGGGGTCGGGGCTGAGGCCAGCAGAGGGTCAGAGGTTAGACTTGCAACAAAGACCTGCAGGAAAGTGGGGGCAGCTAGGCTAACTCCCCCTGGCCCTGGCCTCATTTCTTCCCTGTGCACACCCTGTTTCCAGCTTGAAAATCTCTGGGGAGAGAGAGGTCCCATACTCAGACATCTCAGACTTAGGAAGTCCCTCCAGTCACACACATCTCCCCAGAGCCTGGGATGCCCAGTCTCATTCTCATCCCATGTGTTAACATCCTCAGATTTGATTTTTTTGTGTCCTCAGTGTCAGTGGGGAACCACAGGGACTAAAGATATGGGTTAAGCCGGGGGTGGAGGGGGGTTCATTTGATTGCCCAATTCATCTTCACATGAAGCGTAAGTTCACACTCCTGAGCCATGGTGCTTGGGAACCTACCCTCAGCCCTCTGACTGCTACCATCCTGTTCCCCTCAGGGCTGGGCAGATGAAAAAAACAGAAGTCCGGAAATGCTACCCGGGTGAGGTGTTCAGAAAAGTCACTTCCTACTGAGAGAGGCTTGTGCCTCTGGGGAAGAATAAGCAGAGGGAAGCATGAAGCTTTGGGGCCCAAAGCCCAGGGAGCATCCCAGGGGAGCCAGGAAGCAAGTGCAGGGCAGGACCCATGCTGGTGACCATACCTAGGCCAGAGAGCAGGGGAGCCGGAAGCAGATCGCCCAAACAGGAAGCCTGGGGTGGGGGCCGGAAGGCTGGTGGGGCTGAGTGGGGAACCCTGGGCTCTGGGCCTGCCAGAGCTGTGCTCAGGATGTGGTGAGAGAATAAGGAAGCAGCCACTGCTTGGGTGGGGGTGGGGAAGAGGCAGCACAGAGTTCTTCTGACCCAGATGCCTCACCCTCCACCCTCTCCCCACTCTCAGCACCCTGCTCTTCAGGGACTGGGTGCCTTGTCCCAGCTCTGCTGCAACACACTGGCTCAGGAATAGGAGATAGGAGGACCCTGCCACCAACCCCCGCTTCACCTTCCCTAAATAACTCGTTTGCAGGCTAAGTCCATCAAACTTATCCCTGCCATCAGGAGAGAAATCCCAGCCCTGCCACTGGAGCCCAGGGGATGGCTGTGGCTGGTGCCCTACCCCAGAGGCCTCCTGGGCTGAGAGACCAGCCCCATTGTGACCTTATATAGCTGATGGGAGAGGAGCCAGTGAGTCACCCTCTCTCTACCCGCCCCCCCACTCCCATGCAGGCTGTGCATTCCTGAGAAGTCCAGTCAGAAGCTGGTGGGGGGTGAGGAGAGAGGCAGGGTAGGGGGGAGATATAAACATAGACGGAGAGCAGATAAAATAAGTCCTTTTTCAGAATAGCTAATAAAGTACAGAGGTTATTATTCCAAAAGAGGATATGAGAAGAAAACAAAAATGGGTTCCCAGAAATGTGGGTAAATCTGTCAGTAACAGAAACTAAGTGGTCGCTTCTGAGAACTTGGGATATAAGCAGTCTGGCTGCTGTAACTAGATTGTACCAGCAGTTCCACAGACATGAACTGGGGGGTCAAATATATACAGGCTGGACCACCCCCAGATTGTTTCCCCAGCATTGGTCCTCTGATGGCACCTCATCTGAGGTTTGAACAAACTCTAAACTCTTGCACTGTAGCAACTTTCAAGCTCCTTTTTTCTTTTCTTTCTTTTTTTTTTTTTTTCTGAGACAGTCTTGCTGTCTCCCAGCCTGGAGTTCAATGGTGAGATTTCGGCCCACTACAACCTCCACCTTCCGGCTTCAAGTGATTCTCCATCCTCAGCCTCCTGAATATCTGGAACTACAGGCGCACACCACCAAGCCCAGCTAATTTTAGTACTTTTAGTAGAGACGGGGTTTCACCATGTTGGCCAGGCTGGTCTCAAACTCCTGACCTCAAGTAATCCACCTGTCTTGGCCTCCCAAAGTGCTGGGATTACAGGTGTGAGCCACTTCACCCGGCCCCAAGCTCCTTTCAACAGCAGACACGAGTATAATAAATTAGTAAATTATCTAGGAAGTTAGAAGGTGGTAAGTGATTATGAAAAAAAAAAATAGAACAGTGGAACTTAGAGGGTCAGGAAGCAGGGGGAGTGAATATGGAGACTTCAAAATGGGGTGATCAGGAGGGTCAGAGCCATGGGGATATTTCGGGGGAGTGTTCTAGGCAGAAGGAATAGCTAGTACTTTTCTGGTCCTGAGGTGGGAGTGCGTGGAGGGACCAACGCCAGTGTGGCTGGAGTGAAGGAAGAGGCCAGAGAGGCAAGGGGAGGGTGGCACATTGGGAGCACCCTGTAGGCTTTGGTCAGGCTCTGGGCACCTTTGGGGCAATCAAGTAGACTTTTTTTTTTGAGGTGGAGTCTCACTCTGTTGCCCACGCTGTAGTGCACTGGCATGATCTCGGCTCACTGCAACCTCCGCCTCCCGGGTTCAAGTGATTCTCCTGCCTTGTCCTCCCGAGTAGCTGGGACTACAGGCATACGCCACCATGCCCAGCTAATTTTTTTGTATTTTTAGTAGAGATGGGTTTCACCATGTTGACCAGGATGGTCTCAATCTCTTGACTTTGTGATCCGCCCGCCTCGGCCACCCAAAATGCTGGGATTATGGGCATGAACCACCGCGCCCAGCCTCGAGTAGACTTTTTGCTCCAAGTGAGATGGGGAGACAATGTGGGGTTCGGAGCCAACAAGGAGTAACATACACAGTTCCCGAGTTCCACCTTCCCATGGGGACCCAGGTGTCATATCTGATTTTTTTTTTCTTTTTTAGAGACAGTGTCACTCTATTGCCCAGGCTTGTCTCCAACTCCTGGGCTCGAGAAATAATCCTGCCTCAGCCTCCCAAAGTGCTGGGATTACAGGCGTGAGCCACCGTGCCTGACTGGTGTCATATCTGAAGCAGCTCTTAGCAACCACCTGCCCAGCCACCCTTCTGGCTTCTCCCTTTTCATACCTCAGTCCATTAGGGGACTCAGGGATGTTCGACTGGCCCCAAGTCTTCCCAAACAGATGCCAGGGAAGGCCTGAGTAGATCATTTGGACCTTTCCAAGTAGTCCACATGGAATCCTCCTGCTGTCTGCCTAATCCCTTTGGCTCCTAGACTTAATCCCACCCTGCCCCTTCCCCCTGAGCTTCTTAAGAGGGCAAAGGGGAAGGGTAGAAAGGCAGTGAGAACAGCTGGGACTCACCTGCTTTTGGCACAGTGTGATTTTTCTGTGCCCTGTCTGGTATTTTGTCTCTGCCTGAACCTTTGAGCACACTGTGGGCCCCCACCCCAGGTTTGTGTGGACTTTCCTTTCTGCCCTTGTCATCTCCCCCAACCTTTCAAGGTGTCAGCGGCTAATCTTTCCCCTGTGTGTTGTGGGAGTCTCTTGGTTCCTCTGGGCCTTTATATTCATCTCCCATCTCTTCCCAGGCCCTAGACCCCCTTTGCTATGGATAGGAGAGGAATGAGGGGAGTGGGAGGGAACAGGTGCCCAGGCTCCTGGGTTTTGCATAGGACAGCAAGGGGCTGTGGGTATGAAAACCATGGTTTTGGTTGAGACTGGCTCCCCAGCCAGTTCTTTCCCCACTGGCCAGTCTGCTGGGCTCCTCTGGGAAGTTTACTCTATTGCCTCCAAGGTGCCCAAAGACTCGGTTCTGATCACAAGACTAATCGCCACGTATTTTAATTTCTTTTTACCCCTCTGCCTCCCACACTCGAAAGAGCAGGGACCTTGGTCTTATGTTATTCACTTCTGCCTCCCAAGCCCCTGCCAACGTACAGGGCAAAGTCTGATGTTTTGAAATGATATGATCGAAGAGGGAAACTCTAGGATTGGAAAGCCAGTGTGTAAAGGAAAACTGGATCCCAGAGTGGATGGGAGAGAGTGAGGGGGGGCGCCTAAGTCCAACCCCCACCCCC